ACAAATACTGTATGATTTCACTTACATGTGGAATGAAAAAAAAAAAAAAAAAAAACCTCACAGAAAATGATAGCAAAAGAGAACAGACTTGTGGTTGGGAGAAGGAAAATTGGAGGAAAGTGGCCAGGTGGCACAAAAGCACAAAGTTCCACTATAAGAGAAGTAAGTACTAGGGGTGTCATGTACAACATGATGACTACAACTAACACTGCTGTGTGATACATAGGAAAGTTGCTGAGAGTACATCCTACGCGTTCTCCTCAAAAGGAGAAAATGTTTTCCTTTTTTTCTTTCTTTTTATTCTGTCTATATGAGAAGATGGATGTTAGCTGAATCTATTCTGGTAATCATTTCACAATATATGTAAATCAAACCATCATGCCGTGTACCTTAAACTTATACAGTGATGTACGTCAATTATTTCTCAATAAAACTGTGAAAGAAATTCCTTTATGGGACTTAGCAAGGCCCAGCCCTTCACACTCCAGCTTTCCCCAGTCTGATCCCTTGCTGCCCAAGACTTTAGTCAAACCTATACCAATACTTTCAGTTCCCAAAGGGCTTCACTGAAGTACCTGCTTTATCAGTCACTGTATTCATCACTATATATTTTAATCATCAGTTTACTTCTTTGAATCCTCTAAATATATGCTCTTTGGAAGTCAGGATTATGTCTTCCAGTTTCACAGATTCAGCCACTAGTATATGCAGTGCTACATAAATTGGATGGATGGATGGATAAGTGAAGGAATGATTAATGAATAAAAATCAATGAACCACAAAGAAGCCTTCATAAGAAGCAAAATTAGTTTCTCAGGTTTTCTTAGAAAACATGGAGTCAGAGCTAAGATGGTTGGATCACCGGAGAAGCATACATCACCTGAGATCCTAATGTACCACCCCCAACCCAGGGAGGTACTCTCATCTCTCAATCCCTTCTCATATCCTTAAAAAATTACTCCCAGGGAGAACTACTATTACCAGTGGGACTGTGTCACATTCTTCAGGAAATTGGCAAGGTGGGAGTAGAACCACTGACTTAAATTACACTGATGGCTGTTGTGTTCCCATACTTAGATAAGGTGATACACCTATCTCCACTAAAGGAACTGCCTTCCAAACCGAAAAGTGAGGTTGACTAGTCAGCATACACTCTTTATAGACACAACTACTGATCTTTGGCATACATATTTATAACTGCCCTGCAAATCATTGTCCTTCAGTTAACGTATCCATTTGTCAGAGTCAAGTTACAACCCAATTAACTGGATTATAGCTTTCCTTAGTTATTTACATTCCAGTGCTAAGGATAAATTCTGTTTTCCTTGACTGGACTTGAGTGCTTTGCAAATTTGTTAAGCAACACATCTATCTACCTTATGATTGAATATTTCTGCAGAAGACCATGTTCATTTCCTTAAGACTGACTTTTACTGTGTTAGCAACTTGGTGATTTTTCTTGATCTTATCCACAAATTTCAAGGGTCCTCTGTATAATCACTACATGCATCAAGAGTAAAGAAACATCCTCTTACATGACAAATTTAAATAGTTATTAATAATTTTGCCCATTAAAAATAATGTATGATCAGCACTATAATGTATAGGTCTACAGAATTAATGTGGCTTTCCTTTTGTGTTTTAGTGGCTACACGCAATGAAGCTCACGAGTCATGATTTCTGTTTTTAGAAAGCTTTACAAAGTAATAAAAACAATAATAATCACTTGGATAGATTTCTTTGGTTAATAAAATACCTTCCTGTATATTACTAATCCTTCAAACATTCCTATAAAGCAGTTCCTATGACCAAGTAAAAAATAAAAGCACTGTGACATAAATGACTCATTCAAGAACATATACCTAAGACTGAGAACTAAGTAAGAGCTAGAGATATGAAGAAAAGACTCAAACTCAGTCTTCTAAATGCTCGGGAATTTGATTGTGATAACAGTTGCACAACTTTGTGCATATGTTAAAAGCCAGTGGACTGTACATTAAAGTACATTTTATGGTATGTGAATTATACCTCAACTTTAAAGAAAAAAATAGGCAGGTCTGTATGTTCTGAGATGGTATGTATCCTCCCAAATACATTAAATGAAAAAGGCGGCATAAAATCTCTGAAAGCATACATAGGTAACCAGCAACATTATTTCCTAAAAGGAAAGGAACTGGGGTGGCTGGGGGACAAGGTTGTCCTGGAAGGGAAACCGACCTTTCAATTCAAATTCAACTTCTGAATTTTATACAGAAGGCAAGTGTAACCACTTTTAATTTTTTTTAATGGAAAAGAAAAAAAAGAATACTCTGATGTGTTATCTTTAGTCTTAAGGTTTATATTAAAAGATTATCTTCACTTTCTCCTGTAATAAACTTAATATACATCAAAATCAACCCCCAAACCTGAGTCTTCTAACCACAGGAAATAGGGTGTTCTCTATACTACACTTCAGTTTAGTTGCCTCGAGGACAAAAGTGTCTAGCTCTGCAGGAAAAAAAACTCAAAAATTCATCCAGTAAGTCAAAGATCATAAAGATCTGTATCATTTCACGCAGAGTTCAATGCTCTATTCTGACAGCCCCATTTCCTAATCTCGTAATTCTCCTTCTGTAGGGGTATAGTTGTTTACTTACTCTTTTAACTTATATTCTCTTTTCCATAATAACTTATTTCTTTTCTCTGGACACACTTATCTCACCTGCTTTCTAAAATTCTATGCTGATGGCAAATTTGTGCCCAGATTCCTAGAGAATATTCCTCATTTTGACAATTCTCAGGACATTTGTTAGATTTTCTGATTGCTTTCCCACCTAATTCTGACATCAGCTTTTTGAATTAGCAAAAATCTTGCAACAGACTCTTGATTTTTAGTTGATTCACTTACTGCGTATTCTGCTTCATACTTTGCCAAGCTGATGGCTTTATAACTGAAGAAGAAATTTTCAGTTTTACTGGCCAGATGCTACTGAGCAACAAACGATAACTTCAAACCATTTGGATATCTTTAGTTCTCTAGTGGTGGATTTTTACTCTTCTTTGCTTTGTGAAACAAACTTAAGTAAATTAGAAGCTCTATAATTTAAACGCAACGTTTGAAATCTAAATACAAAAATCACAGCTTATTTTCATATCTGAATTCTAGAATAATCTGGATCTCAAATCTAATGATTACCAAAGAAACAATCAATGTGTCTCAACTTAAATTCTCAAGAAAGCAGAATGAACATACGGAAACTTAAAGACTATTTTAGGTAGAGTTTAAATATTCAGTAAAGGGCTCTGGGAAGTGGTGTACTGAGAGAGAATAGGGAGGCTGACAGACTGTCAACAGATTTCCAGACTGAATTCTGCTTTCACGTCTTACTGTGGTGAATCACACTGATAGGTTTTCTCATAGTAAACCAACCCACCTCAGTCATGTTATATTATCTCTTTTGTATATTATCAGATCTGATTTGTTAATATTTTATGTATGTGTGTCCTCTATGAAGATCTAAAACTTTCAAAATTTCATGGGGAGCTAAGTTATAAGCAGAACTACTATGAAATTTTTTCAGAATTATATTATAGGATATCCAAAAGAGAAAAAGGTGAGTGAATAATGTTGAATGGTATATAAGCATATTAAAATGTAAATATATTTACCATTTAATTTTTATTATTAAACATTTTAAATAAGCTAGTTTACTTGTTAGCTCTTAGATAAGTAAAGATTCATAAAAGATCACTAACATAGTCTCAAAACAGTTTAAAGAAACTGAAGGTAGACAAGAAATCAGGATTAGCCTTCATTAAAGCAACAAAACCCACACAACTATGTAAAACTATATACTTCTACCCTTAAGTTTTTTGTTGTATTATTAGAACTGAAAGAACAAAAGTACTTACCTGTCTTCTATACTCTAAAAGAGAGTCATACAGCTTCCACCCATTTTCAGGGAATACTTCTTTGTATTCAAAAGCAAAAAGAGGCTACAAAACAGTAAACAGAGTTAATAGCTACAAAATGACATTTCAGGAGGTCATGAATCAGAAATGAATCCTTAGCATACCCAAAGTTTTCATTTACTTATCTGCAAGGATATTTTGTAGTGGTGTCTTTTTTTCTTTATATTGCTGTTTTGGCTCTTGTTTTAGAATTTTGAAAACGTATTGTTTTTTCATATTTTTCAAACACATAGAAAAGCACAGAGGCCTACCACCAAGACGTATCAAATGCTAACATATCTCCATATTTCCTTCAGATACAAGCTGTTTAGGTTCCTTCTAAATAATCAAAGGCTTTACATAACAAAAGACATCTTCTGACATAATTAAGTAGTTTGACGTCACAGATGTCAGCAGTTAAGCAGCTGACGTTAATGCTACATTTTCTAAAACATACTGAATAAACATGTTATTTTTTTGGCATGCGATCAGTATACCAAAGAAGAAAATCTAGTTTATCATTTATGTAGACAGAATGACAGGAACAACTATGATGAAAAACATTCAAAACAAGAGTCAAAAAACCAGTACTGATTACAAATTTTACTCCCTACTAGCTGTGCCCACATTAATTGCTTACCTGCCCCTGGTTTCAACTCTAAAATAGGGATAAATAAAATTTACCACCATGGGGCTAATGTGGAAGTTAGATTACGTGATGTTAATGAGGAAACACCATTACTAGCACATAGCAGGAACTCAGCTAAGTATTTGCCCACTCTTTCCTCCTAAAATTGCTAGACTTAACTCTCAGCTCCTAATTAAAAAGATTGCAAATAAATAAATAAAATCTTAAAAAAAAATAAAAAGGAGATTTCAAATCCTAATGAAGACCACAGATAGCTTTTCATCATGGGACCGCCTCCTATAGAAAGATCATTTAATTATAGAATGTCAGCGAGCAGGAATGGACCTGAGAAACCAGCTAGTCCAGTCCTTCTCATCTCATACCTAAAAGAAACTGCTCCAAGAGATTAGATTAAACCTAAATTATGCATCTGGTTTAATGGCAAAGTAGGATCACAATGTAGGTTCTAGGTAGCCTATACAAGTTTCTTTACACTACGCCAAAATTTACAATACACATTTTTCAAAGATAAAAACTTCTTACCAGGTTATTAGAGACAGGAAATGCATATTTCATTAGATTCTCAAAAATGGATCTTCTTGTTCGCCCCTCAGGTTTATGAGCAAACCGTAAATTCCGAATATCCTAGAAGAGATTTAGGATCCAAGTCATCGATCCCTGTTCACCTTTTATTTAATGAACACAAAAGGTAACTTGGAACTATCTTGTAAAATGTTAAGATCTGTGAATGTGGGATACAAAAATAAGACAACAGCTCCTGGAGGCAGGGAAATCACAATGCCTATTGAAAGAAATTAAAAAAAAAAAAAAACAACCCCACAAGGCACTCTAATACAAGGCAAAATTCAGAGGACAGAAATTTTATTTCTGCTTATTTACTCAAGATAGGCCAGTAAAGGAGACACCATCTGAGCAGGCACTAGAGATAAGAGACACTGTATCTGAAGCTCACTATCATGACTGATACACAGCTTAGTGTATGTCCTTTCCCTGTGAAAGCCCATTTTTTGTCATGATTTTCCCTATTAAAAAACCTGATTAGCTCTTGTTATATTTCATAAGTGTCTTTGGTCCTATTATGCCTGGTGATAACTTTCCTACTTATGATCCCTTCCCAGGGCTCATTTTCATTGGCTCTTCATAAGTTTCCTGCTACTAGACTGATAGAATCAAACTCTGCTTAAATCTCTTACTCTTCTCCATGTCCAAGTTCTTCAAACATCTCCTGGCAGATAAACTCTCAAATATTTGGTTGATATCATCCTGGCTCTACAGTCAGATGTAAAGCCCCAGGCTCCCTTTTGTTATTTGTCCTCAAGCAATTCTCTATGCTCAGGATCAATGTAGATATTCATGTTCTGGTTTACTGACATCTTAACTGCACTAGGAAAAACTTGGGGATTAAGGATAATTTCAAGACCACCCATCTTATCTAAGTGTTTTAATCTAAGCAGAATTCAAAATAGCTTTATTATACCCCATTCTGTAAAACTGAATACAGGAACACTGCACTTTAATGCACCTGCAGTACATGAACAAGTAGGACATTTTATCACAAAGCTGATCCAAAACTAGGATGCTAGCTTTATCTTATTTTAAAACAAACATGTGGGGAAACCTAAGTTGATACCTTGTTTTTCCCTCAGTAAATATCTTTACAACTAGTAGAGATATTCATAATCACTCTGTTAATCACAGGGTTATCTAAAAGTACCATAGACAGGGCCCTACAAATGTTTGGGTTTGTCGATAATTGTCTTGTTCCATGGAAAAAATTATATTTAAAATGATTAAGATGCCAAAGTCTCCCTCTTTCATGTCCTCTTATATTCTACGCTCTATTTACTATTAGGTTACAGAAAAGTGATCAGGAGACAATGTGCTTGACACATGGTTGACAGCTATTACACCCTTCTGACTATGAAGGAAAACGCATAAAAATAACTACTAAGTCATTACCTTTATTACTAGATTTATAGAACTTCTAAGATTAGCATAAGAAAGTAATTTGAAAGTTAGGCATGTGCTGTTGCTTTTACTTTTGGCACCGGCAGAACAGCAGGAAAAAAAATAAGGTGATCTAGAATTGAAATGTGCACGGGTGTTAATTAGGCCACAACGAGAACAGCAACCTATTGAAGTGGCACCAGGTATGAAATATCTATGACTGAACAGAATGATGAAAGTGTAAAAATCTTAAGTTTCATTCAAGTATCAACACATTTAAGGAATACCAGTTAGACATTATCAAAGCAAAACCACAATGGGATCTCTCCTCACACCTATCAGAATGGCTAAAATCAAAAACTCAAGAAACAAGTGTTGGTAAGGATGTGGAGAAAAAGAAACCCTCATGCACTCTTGGTGGGAATGCAAAATGGTGCAACCACTGTGGAAAACAGTATGGAGGTTCCTCAAAAAATTAATAATAGAACTACCCTACAATGCAGTAATCACATTACTGGGTATTTACCCAAAGAACAGAAAAACACTAATTCAAACGGATACATGCATCCCTATGTTTACTGCAGCATTATTTGCAATAGCCAAACTATGGAAGCAGCCCAAGTGTCCACCAGTAAATGAATGGATAAAGAAGATTATATATATATATATACATATATATATATATATGTATGTATAGAATGGTACACTACTCAAGCATAAAAAGAATGAAATCTTGCCATTTGCAATGACATGGATGGAGTTAGAGAGTATAACACTAAGTGAAATAATCTAGTCAGAGAAAGACAAATACCATATGACTTCACTCATATGGGGAATTTAAGAAACAAAACAAATGAACAAAAAAAAAGAGAGAGAGAGAGACAAACCAAGAAACAGGTTCTCAACTATAGAGAATCACTGGTTACCAGAGAGGAGGTTGGTGGGGGGATGGGTGAAATAGGTGAAGGGGATTAAGAAGTACACTTAATTAAGAGATTAAGAGAACTGAGTAACATATGGAACTGTTGATCACTATACTGTCCACCTGAAACTAAAATAACACTGTATATTAACTACACTGGAATTAAAATTTTCTTAAAAAGTACAACAGGTAAATTCTTTGAGTTAAAGAATATTCATGGCAAAGATAAATACGGGGAGGAAAATTAAATGGAGCTGATCATGAGAAAAAAAAGAACAGGAGTTAGGTAAGAAAATAGGGAAGGTCTACAATGTCAAGTTTTCCACACCATTGTTTCAGGAAGCAGAAAAATTATAAGAACTAGAAATAGGAAACAGGCACTGATGAATGCATCGGAGCCAGTTCTTCCACTATAAAGTCCTATGCCTTAACTGCCCAGCCTTATGTTTCTAATTTGTAAATCAAAGGTAATAATGTCTATCATGCCTACTTCAGATATTTTGAGGCTCAACATGAAATAATCAATGTCAAAGTGCCTTGTACTGGGTCCAAAAGAATTCAAACCTAATTCATGATAGATCACCTTTTATTACTCCTAAATGTTGTTGTTGTCTTCTAGAATGATGTTCCAGTATGAAATGTGCTTGACAGTTTGGAAACCAGTTTCTACACACAGGCTCTACTTAATAGAAAGCTTTTCAAACCAAATAAAATTGCATAAATATAACGTTTACCTTACACACAGTTTCCAGTCCATAAGAATTTTCACCTCGACTAGAAGCACCACCAATTTTTTCTACTCTACTTATCACACCAAGAGAGGCATCTAAAACAAATGGGGGATCCTAAAGGAAGGAAAGAAAAAAACAATTAAAACTGAGCAATTGACACTGTACAATTATCTTAATTAGAAATGCCTGAATTAAAAATAATCAAAAATGAACAAAACTGCAAAGAACATACAGATGTACATATAAAAATCTAATCCAACAAGTCTTACCCGTTCCATGCTTTTAAAATATAACCTGTAATTCGTGACAGTCAGAGTTCCTCGGACAGCACCAGTGAATGGACATATATAAGTTACATCTTTGGCTGCAAAAGCAAAGAGTCCACAGTTTACTACACATCATGCACTACTAAAAACTGCACTCTTGTCTTTTCACAGGTGAAATTTACTAAAATTCTGACTGCTGTTCTAACCTATGCTCAAAAAATCACAGAATCCGTGTTCCAACAGAACTCAGAAGCCAAATGCAGGCTTCCAACCATGCAGAAATCTGGGAAGGGCTGAAGAGGTAGAGATAACCCCAACCCTCAGACAGGAGACAAGACTAGCCACTATCCCTGCTGGATAAAATGCGTGTGGAAGTTGGAGTAGCGGGTGGAAAGGTAGGAGTAATGGTGGTTACCAACTGCAGATGTCACAAGCCACAGTCACCAGTCATCACAGTTTCTAGATCACCTCACCAATCTGCTGGTTGTCTTCTGGTCAGTCTAATTTGTCAACATTCCTCTAAAAATATATCTGAAATATATATCAGAAACTCCTGACCTGATTATACTTATGGGGAAAACAGTGTAAGAGAAATGCAATGTATACGAAATGTAATTTCTTAGAAAGGGAATAGTAAAATAAGAGGACTTTATATTCCTGACCAAGCAACTGATGTCAACTTTGTAGAGAAACAATCCATTGTTCTATTAAATGATAAATGATGAATCTACACAGTATAATGCTTTTTAAAACATTCATTAATGAAGCAGGATAACTCAGCTACCACTAGCTCAAAATAGTATTTAATATGGTAGAGTTCCTAATGCCCACTACAAACTTTTTTACATCTTAAAATATTTATAAATCCCTGGTATGTCATTATAGCAGCAAATGAGCAAATAAAGGAATATCTTCACCACTCCAGAAAGTAAGGCACAACTAGGAGCAATAAATTGCTAAGAACCAAGGGGCTTCTGAGAAAATGCAGTGACATAAAATACATTTAATAAGGTATTACAGCTTCCTGACTTTGCTTTTTACTCACCACTTTGAAGGACTGAACACTTTGTATGGAATCTGAAATGAGACTGATCTTATAACAAACATTTCTAACCTTCAAAATAGTTCCCTCAGGAATGTTCAAGTATGAGCTACATTTTTTAAATCGTTGTTTCCAATGCATGTTTCATTTAGAGGGATGCTTTTAAAATTAAATAAACCCATCATTATGGAAAGATACATAAACTTGCCTCGCATACACTTTCTTGCCCTTATAAATTTTTGCCTCAAGTAGAAAAGCTTTAGTCAATGCTACTAAAACATTTCTAGATTCTTTTCAGAGCCAGTTTTCTTACTCACACAAGAAAATCAACCTCATCAGTTTATATGCTGCCACAAGATATGTCCCTCTCAGTCCCATGTTTTTGTTTCACCTTACCTTTTATTCTAAAATCATGAGATAATATTCATGAAAGTGCTTCCAAAATTGAAAGCACTATACATACATAAGGGTTTATACCTACGTTACTATTATCATTGATCATTTGTTCTGCCCCTTTATCCTTCCTTCTCAGTCTGGTGGCAGCTACATCACACTGAAGAGAGAATTTGTGCTTAGCAGGGTTTGCACCAAGTAGACGAGAGATTATGACCAGGAACCATATCAGAGCAAAAGACAGTAGTAACAACCAGCACTGATGGCCTTGCACTTCAGAGTTTATAAAGTAATTTTCACCTGAGTACCTCCTTTAACCTCCATAACAAACCTTGTATATAAGACCTATAATTACATCTACAAATTTTAGATGAGAATACCGGGGCTCAGAGAAGTATAATGAATAGCTTAATATTTCAGAACCAGGAACTGCTAAGATTAAGACTTGAAAGCAGTTCATCTGACTACAAATTCAAATCTCTTTCCATCACGTCATGCAAAGCTAAGCCACTAACACCATCTGACTCCTGTGTTAAAAGGTTGAAATATGGGAGTCTGGAGCTATCTCTACTTCTGATATGCCCAGGCCACAGTACTCTGAGACTGTTACTTCCTTAAAGCATGCTGTTGATATTCCCAGCACTACTCTAACTTTTAAAAAACTAAACTGAAGATTAACATTAGGCCAACTAAAAATCAAATGTCTTTTCTAGAGGAATTAACATATTCTAGGTTATTCTAGCCTTACACTTTACATTCAATGTCATTTTTGCATATAATCAAGTCTAGCTAGATAATTTTGAATCAGAATATTTAATATATTAGGTATTCCTCTAAATATTGCAATACTGATACTGCCTAGTGGTACCAAAAGAGCTTAGATTTACTAACCCTCTCAAATTTTCATTGCGTTCACAGGGGAAGAAGCCATAATATTTTCTGTGAGGTAGACTAAAATGACCTTGAAAATACATATCTGTAAGGATATAAAATATATACAAACAAATGTAATAAACGAGAGCAAGCGATCTGTACAGAAAGAGAGGCACTAAAACATATGCTAAGTAATACAGTGAAGGGGAAGTCCACTCCGCTGTGGGATCGGAAAAGGTTCAAGGAACAGAGGCATGTGAGTTGTGTCCCCATGGCAGGTGTCCATCAGATGGGCAGAGATGGTGAGATGGCGCTCAATGCACAGGAAGAACCGAATCCAAGATACAGGAGTGCGGGAGTAAAGGACCTACCTAGACAAAGGTCAGTACACAGCCTGGCTCTCTCTGCTTCAGACTGTATCATACTCTTTTCACGCCTCAGTTTCCCTCCCTGGTTCCTCTTCCACCACATGTTGTAAATTGACAATAAAATGAAAGGTGGTGTTTCTTTGGCTAAGAAACCATTTACTTTATTCTCCTCATACATTACTTTATTCCTCAGAAGCTATGGTATTTTGTAGATTACCACACAGATTATTTAATAAAGTAAAAGCATGAGGACAAAAAAAAAAATATCTTAAATGCTTGTTGCCAGTCCATACAATAAGTTAATGCTTAGTTCTTTAGGCTGCAAAAGAAAAGCGCCTACATGCAAACAGCTTGCTTCACAATGGAGATGAAATATCTTTATCCAAAAATTGACACAAATTTATTCAAAGTAGAAAAAATAAACAGAAAGAAAGAATGTGTTTTAAGAAAAATTACTCGTACAAAGTGACAATCCAATGCTTTATCTAGGCAAACCAATATCTTACTGCAGTCGTTCAAAATAATGAAATACTCTCTTGAAAATTCATCAAGTTAGAAGAAAAAAAAACAAACCCCTACTTTCAACGAATGTAAAGCAAACCAGAGAAGCAGCAGCATATAATTCAATTTGCATGTTTCCCTATAGTCCAACTACACACATAACCAGCAGGTGTAGCGGATCTAGGCGTAGAGGACACACCACATGTCGGGAAGGGTGGCAGTAATGAGTGCTGCCAGACGGGGTGTCTTGGACAGTGAACCTGTTCTCTGTACATTGAGAGTACTGAATAGTCTGTGCACTCAGAAAGGAGAAGGAAATTCAACAAAAAATACCATTACAGACCCATGTCTTTAATATTTTCTCCTGGAAGCAAGGGTGGTTCTTCCATTTCTGCTAATTTGTTAGATTCCCTCAGGACCTGGATTGGAAAGGGGAGGAGGGAGGGAGCAAGAAAAGAAACATGTTTTATTCAAAGGCTACTTTTTCACTCCAATTGCAATTGAGCATGCTTGCTCTTAAAGTTATAACATTATATCACACATACTACTTTAAATCAAACTATAGAAACTGTGGTGTTGGTATGTGTAACACGTGAAGTTGCTGTTTTTCTACCCAGCATTTACGAGTGCCTACTTCGTGTAAGGTACTGTACAAAACACCTGCCTGACATGTTCTCAGTGAATCCCACAACAGCCCTATAAATGGTAGGTGTTATTATCCTCATTTCCTAAATGAAGAAAAACAGGTCAGAAGTGACAACTGACTTGTTCAAGATCACACAGCTAACATGTCAGAATCTACGTATGAATTACAATTTAGTGGACTGCAAAGCCCATGTTCTTTCCATTAAGCCATGCCCACGGGCCTTAGTGCATTTAAACCAGGATAAAATCAAACTCTTATGTACATTTAATGTTTAGAGAATTTGCAAATGACAGTGATAAAATATCTTGTTGAAAAAGAGATATTAAATAGATTAAAATCATGATCAACAACTGTTACTGAATAGTTACCTTACAAAGGACGCTACACTAGATTCCAAGAATGTACAGATACAGAAACATGGTTGTATCATGGATTTACAAGCCAAACAACACACACACACACACACACACACACACACACACAGTTGTCATATGCTAAATATAAATACGTCCCCCTAGCTACCATGAGCCTCCCCACCTCTGCCCCTTTCACTACCAAACAATAATCTTCATTGTCTCTGATTTTTTTAGCTCCCATTAATTCCTCAACATTCTGCAATCTGGCTTTGCCACCAAACCCAATCATTCTAGGGAACTCACTTTTCTTCCCAATCACCTCCTCATTATTAAAGATAATGAACATTTCTCAGTCTTTATTTTTATCTCTTAACGACATTTGACACTGCCTACACTTGCCTGCTTCTTGAAAACATACTGTCCTGTTAAACTCTTCCTTCTCTGACCATTCTTTTTCAATGACCTTTAATTCCCTTTCCTCAACCTTCCCCGTTCCCCAGCGGTTTGTCCATATCTCACTTTACTCACTTCCTGATATCTCGTATCTTATCTATGACTTCACCTAACTATCCATGCTGCCAAACAAGAGTTTTCTCGGACTCTAGGTTCCATTCATCCCACTACAAATGTTCCTCCCCAATCAGATGTCCCCCAGACACCCTGAACTCAACAGATCTCAAATTAACCTGTGTTCCATACTTAGCAAAGGACACCAGCATCTATTTGGTTGTCTAAGCCAGTTTTGGGGGAGGGCGGAGCAGTGGTATCTGTGCAGACTCGGGCCTTCTGCTTCAACCTTGACTCGTTTCATTAGACTGAGAACCAATACCACTAGAAAAAAGATGCTCAGTTTTTTAAGCAGCTTTTGACTCTCATTTCCTTCAATCCAAAAAGTAGACTTAGAGTCTTCAAAAGAAGGTCAAAGGGAAGAAAAAAACCACTGCTGCTTTAAAGGTCACCTTCTGCAGGCCCTCAAACTCGGTTAGAGGTGTCTTCTGCATGAGCTCCTATCTAGCACTTACCACACCACTCTGCTTATCTGTTTTCTTGCTACCAAACTCTGAGAGAAGAGGTATCATATCTTATACACTTCAGAATACTGAACAGAAATATAACACAAGCCATATACGTAACTTTTAATTTTCTAGTAGTCACATTAAAGAAGTAAAAAGGAACATGCAAAACTGATTCTATTTTACTTAATCCAATAAATAAATAAAAAATATTGTCATTTCAACAGGTAGTATTTTTTAAAGTATTGAGGAGATATTTTATAATCTTTTATTCATACTAAGCCTTTGAAACCCAGAGTGTATTTTCTACTTACAGCATATTTCAATCTAGACCAGCCACATTTCAAGTGCTCAACAGCTATATTTCTAGTGGTGCCCATATTGGGCAGTACTAATCTAATGAATCTAATTCTTTTTTTTTTCTTGAAGATTTTATTTATTTATTTGACAGAGAGAGAGAGCACAAGCAGGGGGAGAGGCAGAGGGAGAAGCAGACTCCCCACTGAGCAGGAAGCCTGATGCAGGGCTCGATCCCAGGACCCTGGGATCATGACCTGAGCCGAAGGCAGACACTTAGCCTAATGAGCCACCCAGGCGCCCCGAATCTAATTCTTCTTGATAATTAAGTCATTCTTTACTTTAAGTTAGGTGCTTAGGAGGATTAGACAAAACGGTTAGATATTATTGCCATAGCCCAGTGTTTACCTAAGGCCAATAAACTAAGAACTACAAAGAACAAATTAATTCTGTTCAATAAACTTGCAATCTAAACAAATTATATCATACTTTTGAAAGTTTAACTATTTGTTTCATAAAGTAACCTTAACACAATACCTAAAGATCTAAAACATACACACACATATAATTTTTTATATTCCGCATTCTAAAACTCATTCATATTTTTGAATGGCATCTAGTTGCCAGTTCACGATACAGCCTTTTATGAAGTCACAGAAGAAAGAAAGAGAGCAGGAGGAGGGAAGGAGAGAGGAAGGAAGGATGAGCCTATAAAGATGCAGAAAAACAGGATACAAACTTACAATATGCAAATATATAGACCCTTCCTGGGTTCAAATCCTGACTGTGCCACACGCCAAGTGCTCTTGGGTAGAGTGCTCACCTTCTTTATGCCTCTATAAAATGGTAATAATCATACTACCCCACAAAAGTGTTAAATGAGTTAATACATTTAAAGCATTTATACCAGTGTTGTCACATAATATATACTTAATGTTTTCTATTGGTCACAATAATAAAAATTCAGACTAACAACTGATGACTAGAATCTGGTAAAAATTTCTACTAATTATGAAAACAAAAGAATTAGATTGAAAGATACAAATAACTAACATAGTACACAAAGAACAAAAATCAAACATGCTACACATGTGAAAGATCATCTAAAATGCTTTATCCTGAGACGCCTGGGTGGCTCAGCCAATTAGGCATCCGTCTTCGGCTCAGGTCATGATCCCGGCCGGGGTCCTGGGACTGAGTCCCACATCAGGTTCCCTGCTCAGCGTGGAGTCTGCTTCTCCCTCTGCCCTCCCCCTCCACATGCATACACTCTCTCTCCCAAATAAATAAAATCTTTAAAAAATAAATAAAATAAAATGTTTTATCCTTTGCCTATCATCTACCACCTGACTTGGGAATACAAAGATCATGTCCCTTACAAGGCCGCAGGAGTTCCTACACTGCACAGGTATACATCCTTACAGCCGCTACAGTGTTGTTCCCCAGGACTTACTGTCTTTCTATATCCTTACACTCAGAAGAAAACTACAAAGCCCAGAAAATGTGTGCTGTATACAGGAACAGAGAGGAAGGCAGTTCTGGCACAAACACGTGGTAGTACAGGAGGAGTAATCTTCATAAGTAAAGCTTTGTAAAGTGAAAAAAAAGGGAGACTCAAGCAAGTCGTGCACGTTGAGAGCCCTACGTTCTCTTATACTTGCTCTGACCAGAATGTCGGAGAGCAAGGCAATGAAGAGAAGCCAGTCAAGATCCCATATCTGCCCAGAAAAGCTGCCCCAGATGGCAGACTTTTAACAACAGACACACACTAGCGGATATACATAAACAACTCACTTTAGAACTGAAGATATAAAAAGGAACTCAAAAGAGTGAATAGAGCAGGGCAAAGGGCAATCCAGATCCTTTGTTGGCAAACGCTGATTATGAACAAATCTATCCTCATATAGAAGAGAAAAAACAGAGCCTACAAAAAAAAAAAAGATTATTTGACAAGGAAAAGGAGGTATCAGCCTGAGGCTCAACAAAAAAGCAGTCTTCTGAAAAGAATTATCTATAGGCATTAGTAGAAACATTTATAAGCTACTTGGTATACCCAAAAGGAAATCAACCATATTCTCTAAGAAATAAAAACATAAAGTCATAAGGACAGACACAGTGAGACAAAAAAAAATGGGTAACATAAAGAATGATTGCAAAAACTAAAAATGTAGCAACAAAATTTGTGTTGGAAATAATAAAGAACTAAATTGATTATTCAGAAAACAGCATTTATGTTGAAGGCAAACATGAAAACTGCTCTAAGAATTTGTAGGAAAAAACAGAGATTAAAAACCATGAAGGAAGGGGTGCCTGGGTGGCTCAGTCGTTGAGCGTCTGCCTTCGGCTCAGATCATGATCCCAGGGTCCTGGGATGGAGCCCGCATTGGGCTCCCTGCTCTGCAGGAAGCCTGCTTCTCCCTCTCCCACTCCCCCTGCTTGTGTTCCCTCTCTTGTTGTGTCTCTCTCTGTCAAATAAATAAATAAAATCTTAAAAAAAAAAAAAAAAAAACCATGAAGGAAGACGATAAAAAACCAATAAGACTTCTATTTCCCAAAAGAAAAAAAATCGAAACAAAATAGGAGCAATAATCCAAGACACAACTGAGAACATGCTTTTGAAATGAATAAAGATTTTCTAAGTTTGATCAAAATAGTTTGCCACGTTCCACATAAAAATGAACAGGGATGTGTGGGTGGCTCAGTCGGTTAAGCATCTGCCTTCGACTCAGGGCATGATCTCGGGGTCCTGGGATCGAGTCCCACATAGGGCTCTTTGCTCAGTGGGGAGCCTGCTTCTCCCTCTGCCTGCCAGCCACCCCTCCCTGCCCCCGTTCATGCTCAAGCGCACTGGCACTCTCTCTCTCTCTCTCTGACAAATAAATAAATAAATAAATCTTTAAAAAAAATCAATGAACAGAGGAGCACCTGGGTGGCTTAGTCTGTTAAGCGTCCGACTCTTGACTTCAGCTCAGGTTATGATCTCAGGGTTGTAAGATGGAGCCCCACATCAGGCTAAGTATGGAGCCTGTTTAAGATTCTTTCTCTCCCTCCTCCTCTGCCTCTCCCCCCCTAAAAAAAAAATCAATGAATACAGATATATCTAGGTG